CACACACACACACACACACACACACACACACACACGACATTGCTCTGCACGTCTGGTTGTTCACGTGCAGCCAAAACAACATGTGGGCTGACGCAGTCACAAGTTAACCAAAACAGCCCTCTTCTCACGCAAGGCTGTCCCTCTTGACACTACAGCTGGCTTCACATGAAGCAGTTAGGGGAAAGGGACAGGTTAGATGTACGGAGGTCTTGCTACACACCAACATGCACAGCTGGTAACTGAGTGGCAAGTTACTTTCAAGAATACTGTATCTACAGAAATCACGCAAATCAGAAAAAAATATTGTATGGCAAATCACGTAAGAGAAAATCTAGGTCATGCACATGCTATAAGAAATAGAGACAAGTGAAAGCTTTACTATTTATGGTAACATTAAAATTTTACTACTTTATGAACCCCTGGCCCATGTTGTAAAAGCGGTAAAGCCTCAATTATAACAGTTGGCACTACAGGTTTAACATATCCCTGAAGAGAGTGACAAGGCAGTGGGTTTTATTTTCTATTTCTGTAAGTTTGGTCAGAGATTCGGGGATTTAATTAAATACCATCTTGAAAGTCGATATATAGCCCAAAAATGGAGAGACAGGAAGTACCAAATGAATAATAAGTTCTCCTAAGTATTATTTTCTCTTCAAAGAATGACTCTGAAAATGCAATATATTTTTTCTGACCTGTTCATTAAATATATAATTCTCAATTTTCCCTTGTAGCTCCTGGCACACTTTAGCACTGTGAATCAGCTAATGTCCTCATCAAGACGTGGGGAAGCATTTGGGGATTGCTTTCACCAAATGATGCATCTTCCTATTGATAGCTGAGTCACTTCGAGACGGGAGTCACTTACTTTGTCTAAAGAGCAAGGAAGTAAAATTGTTTCCTGAATGCTTCCCCTGGGAAGGGACTGATGTTCTCTTCCAATTTGGGCTGCCAGCTTCTGCTGGATGCTTGCACAAGCAGTTCACCTCCATAACCATTTGTCCCAAACAACACCTTAGAAACATTTTTAGAATATGTTCTAGAGTAAGTCTTGATATTTTCTCTGATAAGTACAAATAATGCTTAAAAAGAAGTAACATTCGCCAAGACAGAAACTTACATAGGAAAACGCATAGTAGGTTAGGCATGGCTGAAGAAAACATTTTCCATTAAGATCTAGTAAATATATATATTTCTAAAAATTGGCTCTCCAAAAAACCCAAACTCAAGTTGATTCTGACTGCTAGTAACCCTATAGGACAGAGTAGATTTGGCCTTGTGGGTTTCCAAGATTATAAATTTGTACCAGAATAGGAAGCTTCATCTTTATCTCAAGGAGTGGCTGGTGGTTTTGAACTGTTGACCTTGTGGCATAGCCATCCAACTAACTTATAACCATCTATATGCCACCAGAGCTCCTGCTAAAACTTATGGCCTAGTCAAAGGAGGGGGGGGTGTCTTATTTACTTGTTTCCCATAAAACAAGGTCACATATAGGGAACAATTGTTCACCCTGGATGGTTTCTCAGAAATAAGGATTAGCAGAAAAGGCTGCAAAACTGGCCAAAGTAATCAAGTTTTGACAGCAACACCCCCTGATGCTGAAATACAATAACCTGCTCTAAAGTCCTGGGGGGAATTAAATTCCACTTCTTAATTGGAACTGTGGGGTCACAGAAGTCAACATTATAAACATTCCCAAACAAGTTCTAATTTTACCAAATACATAGATCACACATACATTCTGAAACGAACCCTGCAGATCGCACTCAACTCTGTCACCTACTCACCAACCCCTCCATTATTTTGCATTGCAAGTCTTCAATGAACTCCAAGTCACAATTTCACTCTGGGGCACAATTCCTCCTTTTCACCCTTGAATCTAGAATATAAGTTATCTGGTTCTAAAGTACAATTCTGAAACAGGCCAAAGGTAAACATTTCCATTACAAATAGGAGACATGGGAGGAAAAGGAAAAAGGAGAACCCCAACCAAGTTAAAAACCCAGAAGAACCATTTACATCAGCTCTCAAGACTTGAAAATAATCTGCCTTCTGAGACCATGAAAAGCCATGACCCTGCTCTCCAGAGTCTGTGTTTTGGCCAGACTCTCTGAATTCTTGGGCTTCGGTTCACCTTCCATGCCCACTGGGACAGCAACTCTGCTCCCTCGGCTTTGGGCAGCCCCATTCTCCTAGTCCAGCTGACTGACAACCTCCCGCCCTCCCTCCCTCAGCCCTGGCAGACCTCATTCTTCTGTCCCTTGAGCACAGCAGGCACACCCAGTTCAACTTTGGGCAGAGAATCTGGCCCCATCCCCCTGGCTCTGGAGAACAACCCTACTCTGGGACTGAGTTGGTAAAGATCTGACTCTTTGAAACAAAGGAGCTGGGGCCCATCCTCTGAAACTCCACAGGCCATAGTTCCACCGTTTTGAGACTCCAAGAAAACGGTGGCATCTCTGTTTTCTATGCTCCAAATAAGTCAACTCACTCTCTGCTTTGCCCTGGCAAGATTACAAAGCTTTTTAGCTCCACAGATTAGTGCCAGAGACACCTCACTCCATCAATAAGTCTTGACTAGCAGGTAGTCAATTCTCTTACTCTAATGAGTTGGCAAGGTTAGCTACATTGACAAGTGCCCAAAGGCACACCCATTCCGCAAGGAAGTCTGCCTAAAGGCACTCCACTCTCTCGTTCTGTGGGTCAGCTCCTGCTGTCTCTCACCAACCTCCCAAGTTCTGCTTCCATCACTTCCCTGCCTCTGCTTCTCACCGCCTGTGCTGTCCCCATTTTACAGCTCTCTTCATTTCCTTGTGAGCCCTTATCGGAAGTGCCTCAGATGTCACACTTTTCACCAACAGCTTCAAGGCAACACCGAGTTTTACACAATTAAGGTGTCTTATTCCAGCCTTGCCACATGGCCCACTTGCAAAACTTCTTCCACATTTAAGATCGGAGCAGTACCTCGCTCTCTTCAGTACTAGATTCTTAGCTATATCTAATGATGCTAGATCATCATAAATGGATGGCTTAAAAAAAAACAAAAGAACACCCCCTCCACCCCAGAATTTCCTCACAGTCAGGGTGGCTAAAAGCCCAAATCCAGGGTACTCGATCTAGGGGAAGGCTTTTTCTCTAAGTTCTTGGGGGAGATTCCTAGCTTCAACACCCATGGTGCGTAGGACACCTTAGAGAACCTCCATGTGTCTTGGCATCCCTTTTCCCTAGGAGGTTAAAAGCACAGGGACCCTGGGTCCAAAACATTTACCCTGCTCCTGGTTCTCCTTTCTTGGTGGTAGTAGGTACTAAATCTCAGCTGGCTTCTTCAATACCTATCTCAAAAGACATCAACTCAAATACAGCCTACTCGTAAATTGCATTCTCCCTTATTAACATAACTGTCTGTAATCCTGCCTCATTAGCAACCTAGAGATAAGGATTTACAACATCATACAGTATAATTACAATTAGATCACAAAATAGAGGATAATTATACAATATTGAGAACCATGACCCAGCCAAGTTAACACTTTTGGGGGAGAGTAGGAGGATCCAATTCAATCCGTAACACCATCAAAGTAATTGCTACCTCTGAATCAGATTGATGTCGTAAGAAAAAGTTTGGTGTTTCATTCCCCCCCAAATCCATACTTTTGCTCTTTGGAAATAGGAATATTATAGAGCAGCAGATATCATATTTACAATCTTTGACAGGCCTCAGAAAGCCAAAATGGAATGGTTCATCCATTACCTAACTAGGTCTTTGAGTATAAAGAAACAAGCTAGAAGGATAGCAATAATTTGAAGATTTAATTTATCACGCGTTCATCTTAAGTGTCTTTAAACTGGTGCTCCAACTCTGAAAAAAAAAAGGGTTATAAAAACACACACAGAACTGGGCCCTGCAACTATCATGTTCTGTGACCTTGGGGCTTGGTGGCACTGTGAGAGAACTGTTGGCTATGAACTTCACGGTTGGTGGTTCAAGACCCACTAGCTGCTGTGAAGGAGAAAGACAAGGCTGCCTTCTCCCATAAAGATTTACAGTCGTGGAAGCACTACACAGAGTCCCTGAGAGTCAGAGTTCACTTGATCACGGAATTGAGAGTCGTAGAATCTTTTGAAAAATGTGGGGCTCAAAATACCATCTGACCCATCCTTGCTAAGCACTACCATTCTCATATAAGTGAATGTGATGTGGGCAGTCATTGTCATATATGTACCCCTGCCAGCATGTTTCTTTCTTTCTCTCTCTCCCTCAGTAAAGTAGAGCTCACCGAAACGAAAGTAAAACAGAGGCCGGTTTCCTGTGGTGCTGGCCACCCGCTCTCTGGCCGCTGCTTCTCGGATGTCACACACTCCGATGTTGGCAGAGCGGAGCATTCTTCTTGTGGCTCCTTCACTGTGTTGCAGTCTACAGCGAACCACGGCAGCTCCATTCGCTGCTGTAACAAGTTGAAAAAAAACTAATTAATTCAAACTTTAGTTTTTTTTTAAGTTGTTACAGCGCCGAGCAGAGCTGCCGACCCCATGCAGAACAGCACATAGAACACCAAAGGGACCACACAACAACACGGGCGGGGCCATCAACACCCAGCCAACATTGGGGTCAAGAATCGTGTTCTGGCAAAGCTGCGGCTTGAGAACTGTCTTCTGTGAAAGTGAGGACCTGCTTCTGTTTCACTCTTGTTTGGTAAGGCACCGAAATGACAATCCACTACTGTCAACAGCCTACCACGGACCCCACCAGCCTTCTTCCAAGACCCCGCGGGGCCCCTGCAGAAATGGACTCGGCAGGTTCATTTGGGAATAGTATGTTGATCATCACGGTGACTCTGTTAGAAGAGAGAAAGAAGGAAAGGGAGGGGAAAAGACCCCTGTCTACGTATCGGCTCCAACATTTGTCCGCAACCCCAAGCCTATCAGCATGTAGCTTTCAGGCAAACCCCCTGATGACTTTTTTTTTTTTTTGTATGCTGATGAGTAGGGTTGCTTCTTTTATGAGCCAGACAAGAAAACCCAGTCCCTCTGCTAGATAGGTGCTAGTAAAGCAGGCTCTCCTTTATGCTAACTTTCTTAAACACCAAGGAAAGAGGCACAGGGAAAATCAAAAGGAAAGCTACAAATGCGAAGAGATCAGCACAAAAATGACGTACTTTGGAACATGCTCTCCACAAAACCATCCTCACCATCTATCAGAATGCTACAGGCGCTGTCAGGGCCAGAAGAACGAGTGACCACAGAACTGAGTGGTATGTGTGAACGTGCCTTTTTCTCGTGGGAGCAAATAAGTTTTAGATTTCTTGTTTCAACAGTACTGTAAAAATTGCCAAGTTTAGTTAGGTAGTACCTTAAAAATTATGCTACTGTCTTTTTTCCCTTGGGGGGAAAATTAATTGTATTAGCGTTAAGCCATTTCTGTTGCCTAGCAAATTTCCAAGGTCACCTTCAAATCTCAATGACCTCTCATTAGAATCACGGTGTTAGACGTCCAGTCAAATATTGTGTTTCTTTTCCCTGAAACTTATAAAACCTAGCGAAGTGTAGAGAAAGTCTACAAACTTGCACAGTGAAACCATGGGACAAATAATCAATCCATGTTTTACAACTACATTTTAATTATAACCAACAATTTCATAACCTGATATATGACACTGTCACTTTCCAGACACGAGGTCAAACCCTGGATTAATTTAAGCCATAATAGTAATGATGTTCATAACTCAAGAACCCAAGTCACATTCGAAACACAAATGCTCTCATATTCTTATGACACAAAATTCCAAAAGTAACCAAATATATTTTGCTCTATAAATGAAATACCACATTTATAGTAATATTATATGTACCTTCTACATATACAAAACATGAGGGCAAAACACATTGCGACAAAATCCTAGAAACCTTGACTAAACAAAATAAAAATATGAACCTATTGCTTCTTGGCCTATCATCCACCTAGATCCCTGCAAGTCTTCTCTCTAGCCCTCCCCCTGAAGAATCCTGAGCTCTTCAATTTCTATCACATCAAAATGGGCTTCCTTGCGGGGCCCAGATAGTGTTCCTTGGCAACGTTCTTTGAGTTTGAGGAACAAAGAGAACCTGGGGGGGCAAGGTCAGGGCTGGAGGGTGACCAGGGTGAGGTTTCCAAACAAAACTCCCAGCGGACAACCTAGCTACCCTCGATGGGACACAATTCCTCAAGCCCTACCTTAACTGACCTCTTCCTCACCAATTCCGTTGTCAAAAGTCTTACCATTTTTCCTAATAGGACTTGTAATCTCCCTGTGCCCATCAGGAAATCTACCCAAGACCACCCTGCTTCACAATCCTATCAAACCAAACCCCACAACCTTTGGAGCTGCCCACTCTGCTTGAATTTCACTGGCCCAGCCAGTCCCTTTTGGAAACCACTCTTTTGAAAGGACCTTGTTTTTGAAGGCACACTAACAAGATTAAGGCAAGTATTTTACTGAGAGAACATGCTTAAGTCACAGAGACATGCTTAACTTTGTTTGGAACAATCAGTGCAGGTATGACCTAAAACCCATGAAGCAATACTTTTTTATTTAACACTGTACAGGGGATTTCAAAAAGTTCATGGAAAAATTCCATTATTTTTCATTCCCCCCCACCACAAGGTTTGATTGAGTGCCCGCCCCCCCCCCCCATGTATAATCAGACAAAAGAACTAGATGTGACTAATTCACAGACAAATGCACGACCTTCATGCAGAGAAGGGACTGAAAGGGCTTTTGGTCTCCGTTGTTTCTCCTCCATTTGCCATTTGTATGCAGCTAATAACACTTAACACGAGATGGCTGAAGCTATTCATCAAGGTTTACATACTTGGAGGTTGTGGCAGGTAGGCTCCAATTAATTTTGACCTCTTCTTTTCATATCCCTTTTGTGTTATGTCACCTGCAAGAAAAGGAAAAAAAATCACAATGACTTGAGTGGATGAGGATGATCATTCAAGGTAGCCTAGTAAGATCAACAGTCACGATTGCTTTACATTATTGTTTGTGATTTTAAAAGAAAGGAATGCACATTTATTCACCTTGACTTATTCTCCTGCCACCGAGCAAAACACCCAACACTGAAGATACATAAAAGTATTTGGTAAACGCATGCTTGCTCCAGCCCCACTCTTGATACAGCCCAGAATCCGAGCCCTTCCATCTTATTCACATCTGCTGTCGCAGGAAGCTTTCACACGCTGCACTGTGCTTTTATTAACTTCATCAACAATAGATTATGCAGAGTGTTTAGGCCAGCAATAGCTGGCCAATTCCATTACTGATTAGCATCTTCTTCATTAATGAGATTTTTTACCCCACTAATCAGGCGTGTAGGTCACAAGGATTTTAAATTGCTATGAAATTTTTGAGAAAATAATTGCCTGATATTAAGGGAAACATTAGGGGGGCGGGGGACAAAGCAAAGTGACATACAGGACTTAATAAAATTGAAAATACGGGAAAACAGCGCTCTTGTTAGGAATTTCAAATGCTAAAGCCAACAATTCATATATGGAAAGCAAAAGCAATTAATCATTAAGTTTGTTTTCCCTAAAGGATAAGCTGCCAGGCACATGAGACAAAATAACCTTCATTAACATGTATCAGCTTTTTCCAGTTATAAGCTCTAATGGATACAGACTACTGATATTCCCCTTGAATTTGTCTGAAAACTGTTCACCGCCCTGCCCCCCCCCC